TAACAAAGATGTTGATTTGCATTTAAGTAGTTCCGACTACTAAATTACATTCTTTGTATCGCCATTATTTTTCCCAACATGCATGTCATCTTTAAAGGAACGTGTATGCAAAAAATTTAGACCATGAGAATCGCAAGGCTCCAAGTTATGACCTTTGAAAGTTGCGTTCCTAGAGCGGTTTTCGCGGGTAAAACTACGAGCATGATAACCCAAAGTTATTTATCCAAACCTTTACGAAACTGCAGCTATTTTAAGAATTTTATTGACTGCACTTGAAGACAACTTAGTCGAACACTCTTCTCTACGAATATTGATTTATGAATTAAGGTTTTGGCGAGTTATGATTTAGATTTTTCTCTCTCTCGTTGTACGACAGAAGTTGATTTGCATTTAACCGACACTTCAAGGTGGGCAACTTCACGCAATATTTGATACTTAACTAAAGCTGTGTAGGTAACTAATCCGAGTGGTTAAGAATAATAACGAAACCACAGTTATTTTAAGAATGTTGTTTACTGCACTTGAATAACACATTTTAAAAACAACTAAGTCAGTGTCAATACAAGCCGACTTACAAAACGAACTAACGATATGGAAGTGGAGGATCTTGAGTGGTACAGTCCTTTCGTGTTCTTTGGTGGAGCTATTTTAAGTTTTGCTGATCCCATCACCGACATACTCACACTGGTGGAATACTACCCTGCGAATCACAAAATATGGTTTGGTATGGGACCTGCTTTTGTTTTATTGCCATATTTGGCGTTATTATGAATTGAGATTTTATCTTGTTATGATTTAGATTTTTCCCTCTCTCATTGAACGACAGAAGTTGATTTACATTTAACCGACACTTCAAAGTGTGTAACTTCACACAGTATATGATAATGCTGTGTAGAAGGCTAGTTTTGTAAAATCAAGAATTAGAATAAAGTTATATTATTCTTAAAGAAAGTGGACGCTTCTTGAGTATTGGTAATATAACGAGATTATCTTGTTTCACTGATCTGTAAATGGTAATAACTAAAGGTTAGCAAACCGAATCGTTGAGAATAATAACGAAAGCATAGTTATTCTAAGAAAGTTATTAACTGCCCATAAATAAATAAATCTTAATAGATGTTTTGGTGTGTAGTATCGCTGGGTATTTTTACGAGTCAAAATACAAACAACCACAGGTGGCCCAAGCTCCAGCTGTGAGATGATTATCTTGCGAAATGATTCATGGCGAAATTATAGGAGTTTGTGTAGGAATATTTACCACTGCTCTTAGGAATAAAATCAAATTCGCGATAAAAAAAAAACCTTATCTTACTTCCACAGTGCATTGCTTGTTGTCTGACCGCTTACTAAGTTGAAAAGAACCCATTTTAGCGAGTTGTCCATTTCTAGGTTTACTACATAAAAGAAGCTTATTGGTTTAAGAATTTAAGATTCTGATTGATGCGGCACATTTCATCCATCTCTCGACGCATGCCTATGCATGTCTCTCCAAGACTGCGTCACAAAGAACATCCGGCAATCATTTACTTTCTTCTAAAATAAATACAGACGTGCAGCACACCTGCTTCCGTGACCTTAAGAGTGAGATCAGATTAGCCAAAGGAAACTTTGCAGTTTTTCAGTCGAAGCTGACTTACTAAGCGAGCTAACGAAAGATCCGTCGAGATGTTAGTGAAAGATCTTAAGTGGTACAGTCCCTTCGTGTTCTTTGTTGGTGCTATTTTAAGTTTTGCTGATCCCATCACCGACATACTCACACTGGTAGAATTCTACCGCGCGGATCACAAAACATGGTTTGGTGTGGGGCTTACTTTTGTTTTATTGCCATGTTTTGTGTTTCAAGTATTGTTCGTCCGGTTGCGTACCCAATTAATTGCTTCACCTTCTAATTTGGCGATGAAAACTGCTTTTTGTGCATTACGTCCATTTTCAGTAGCCTTTACGATACTCGAAGTTTTTTTTTCTTTCTCAAGAAATTGTTGTTTAAATTAAGGTGAAGTCGACCGGGCCAGCTATGAAAAAGCTGAAGATGTATTCACTCACATTGAGTTTGCTGGGCTCTTTGAGGCAGTCCTTGAATCCACTCCACAATTTATAATTCAGTTGTACGCCATTAGTCTTCGAGAGGAACCAGCTGCGATTATCCAAATAATTTCTCCACCTATCTCTTGCCTCATTCTGGCATGGGCCGCTCACCAAGTAGCATGGTACGATATCTCTCCTTTGATGTTACGCGGGGGATCCTTGTCAATCTCGTCTTCTACAGTCATCAACTGCACCATAATTGACCACTTGTTATTTGAGAGATTCGACAGTCAACTAAGCGAGTCCTTAGATAGAGTTAATGACACGATCAGCACAATACAGAGTATCAGCGAAACGTCTCTGGCAGAGTATCTTGCCTATGCCGCATGTGCACTGTCCGTCATTAACCTCGTTGTGTTTTGTGTTACTTTCCGCTGTGTCTTCAGGATGTTTCGTCATCAACCTAAACATAAGCTGTCTAAGAAAATCGAAGTACCTCACTACGAAAAACATGCAACCAATAATTAATTGGTAACAAATTATGATATTTACAATAACAACAGTAATAATAACCATAGGAATAGCAATGATAACTTAAAGGAGCTGGCTCAAGAACTTCACTGTTCCTGTATCCTTAAAGCACCTGCTTCTTTTGATTTTGCCTGTTAATTACGAATGATTTTCTTATTTCATAACAATTCCGTTTTTGCAAAAACAAAACGTTCTAGGATATTCAGTTATTCCGTGTTTACAGATATACTGCAATTTCCCCATTTCGCCATTCTTCCCTTCTATTATATTGTCAAATAATAGGAAAAGGAGGAGAAGTCTGGAAACGAAACTTTTTGCCGCTAAGTCTAACGTTTGAATCACGTGATAAATAATTCGTACACGAAACTGATGCCTGGAAGATCAATTTCGCCATGTTGTTAGTAGCAAATTTCCAAATCGGAGATGATCTATCTTTCTCGGGTGTCACGGGGTAATTAACTTTCCCAGAGTGTTTGAGATATGCGTTTTTCCCACAATCCCTTTTACAAGAAGACAGACTACGTACTAAAAAGCAACAGTCTCATTGTATTACTTCAACAAAAAGGTTGGACGGTACACGGCTGTTGGGAAAATTTTCACTTTGTTTTCGTTTTCTCACTTACTTGTCATTGTGCACTTTTTTTTTGCTCTTCGGTATTTTGTTAATTACGCTACTTTGTTAGAAGCTGTATGTAAATTTGGTTATATAGTTTGTTGTCTCGCCACTTTCTTTTTACCAGAGATTTTTTCGTGTCTATCCGTGAAACAGTGTTCGTGGCAATAGATATTTCCTTTTTCTCGGTTTCCCAAACCACCAACCCCAGTTATCCTCAGAATTTAGTAAGCGGCTTCATTTTCATCGTTCCTTTAATTTCGTTTTGCAGTGGCCTTTAGGTAGTTTGTCTGTATTGTAATTATTATTTTTTCGCTCTTGTAGGAATTTACTTTTTTAACGTTATAATAAAACATTTCTTGAGGCATCGTGTTGTGTTTTCTTCGAATTGGCTCTTGCCTGTTCAACGGCTGTGCCTCGAACAAGAAAAAAAGAAGTTTACGTCCATCCTCAGCCCATTAATTGAACATTCAGTGTGCTCACTTTTTCATGAGCAGCCTACTCGAATGGCATAAGTCGAGAGGGAAGAGAATAAAAAGCAAGCATTTTGATAAGTTAGAAATAGTGAAAATAATTAGGGAATATTTGTTATTTACATTTACATTTAACAGATAACTAAAACATTACGCTTGTTTCGTATTTAAATGTTGTTCGATAGTTCTAATTTATTGAGTGATGTTGACATTAAACGTGTTCGTGAGGTAAATTTCTCACATTTAAGGAATATGGTGCTTTGCCTCAAAGAATGCGGCGAAGCAGAAAGTTTGGATCACCTTGAATGACCCTGATGATATCTTGAGACATTGTGTGAGTACAGCACTTAAAATGTTTATTTCATATTATTACTGACAGACTTTTAATGATAAAGTCAGTTTACCGGATTGAATTTGATATTCGTTTGAGCCCATTTTTCCAGTTGTGGGATTTTACTTGTAAAAACAGTTGAATACTCTAGTCAGAGTAATTAAGCACTTACCAGGCGATTCTTTAGAAGCTAAATGCAATTACCTACCGTTAAACAACTAATAGTGACCTGAATATACTTATGAAGAATTTTTAGACTCAGGAAGTTTTGATTTTATCATGGACACTCCAGCTCTCCCAGATTGTGCCATGGTCAGAAAAAACAACCTGAGAACCAATCAGTTTCCATTATCTCGTGTATTACACTGAAATTGATACAGACGACAAACTATTTTCAATGATTTTTAGTGTCAAAACAGACTAAAGCAAAGGAAGCTTTGCAGTTTTTCGGTCGAAAGCTTAGCACGAAAGCCTCAGACTAACAGCGCAGCAACCTATTTCAGTAACTGAGCTTGTGTCAATACAAGCCGACTTACTAAACGGACAAACGAAAAGTCCGTCGACATGGAAGTGAAAGATCTTAAGTGGTACAGTCCTTTCATGTACTTTGTTAGAGCTATTTTAAGTTTTTCTGATCCCATAACCGACATACCCACGCTGGTGGAATTCTACTGTGTGGGTCACAAAACATGGTTTGGTGTGGGGCTTAAGAAATGGTGGTCTAGAGATGAAATCGACCCGGACAGGTCTGAAGAAGCTGAAGATGTACTCAGTCACATTGAGGCAGTACTTGAATCCGCCCCACAATTTATCGTTCAGTTGTACGCCATCAGTGTTTAGGAGGAACCATCTGCAATGATCCAAATCATTTCTCTACCTATCTCTTTCCTCACTCTTGCAGAGGCCTTCACAGCCACCGATAAGAGGTCTCTTGCCGAGTGCAAAAAAATACCAAGTAGCGGTGACCTGAATGTTACATTACAATTAGCATTGTATGTGACTCACTTAATTTTCCTTAGCAGTCGACTGTTCGCCATCTGTTATTTCACTGTCAGCTACAAGTGGTGGGTCATTGGGGTGTTAATTTTTCATTCTTGTGTGGTAGTAATAGCGACTGTTATTCGGAATGAAGAAGAAGTTCATTGCGGCGTCTACTACGTTTTCTTAAGTATATTGTTTCTGGACATTCACTGTCTAAGAGATGACTATGTAGAATTATCGATGGGTGTAGATGTAACTGATTTAACCATGAGCGTGTTTTTCTCATATTTTTTTTTGTATTAGAAAACTTATTTATGATCCTATTGTTATATTTCTCTTATCGCCCTAACGCTTGGTACTCTTTACCTGCGGGTGTGTGTGTTTGTGTGTTCAGTGTTCCAACAAAAGTGTTCTTGGCTCCACAATGAGAATTTGCTTACTTCTTTGGCTAAGCAAGAAACCTGCCAGCGGTTCACCAGCCGCGAGCAGCAGTGAAGTGAATACATGTGTTGTGAAGTATTATGTCAGTTCAGTATAATCCAGCCATTCGCTTATATTTGGTCTGTAGCTACTATTTGAATTCGAGGTCCGAAGTTTGGTTTAAGCTATGGAGATTAGTTTCGAAGTTGTCACTATGTGTTTAATTCCATCGCTGGATGTGCGTAGTTGGACTACTGGCCTTGGGCATGACCCTCACGTAAGTTACAGTCTAGTTTTGGCAGGAGGGTCCAAAATAGACTTTTCTAATTCCATATCCCGCTGCTATTTTTCATTCCATTCCGCCATCCCGCTGCAATGAAAATTTTTCATCCCGATCTCGCCTGGTTAAAGATACAACAAACTTTATCAACTTCATAGAAAAAAAGCTCATGTTTTGGTTTACACGGTCAAAGATTGATTCTGTTGATCTAAAGCATTCAGTCCGTACGCTTTGTTTTTCATTTTGTGTGATTCTTAAAAAGTGTTTGGGTTAGTGTTCCGACAACAAACGTTTGATCTTTCAAGGTCAGTTGGCCAGCATGCCCGCTCGTGCCTACCTGTAGCAAATACATGAGCATGTACTTTAGAGTTCATTCAGCCAAAGTACGTCATTGAGTCAGTAGTCAGTGATCACTGACAAGTAGAAGACTGAAAATCAAAGTGTGAGTATCAAAGAGAGATTAATCAGAGTTAGAGCCAGACGACCAGGATGACCAGAGTTGTACAGAGTGAAGCAAAATTAAAGGAAAGGAACACAATTTTGTTAGAGAACCGAGAAATTTAAGAGAGTCGAGAGTCCTTGGTGCTTTTCGTAAAAGCGTGTTGCGGTCTGTAGACAGTATGCTCATTATTGAAACCCAGCTTACCTGCATGGTGGAGGACTTGGGAACACATGATAAGATTTAGAGCTAGAGTCTACTTATTTTCATTTATTAGTAAAAATTGCCAGGTGTAATAGGTATTTTTAAATTTGTAACTCGAAATGTAAAAGGAATGACATAAACACGACAAGCTGTGAGTAATGGATGGATATTATAGAGCGGCTTGCAGATACTTATTAAAATGCTCGATTTTAGCTTGGAGTAAGTGGTTTAGAGGTTTGATAATTTCAACGAGTTTAGGATTATGAATTAAGGACTGACTTATGTTGATATAGAATTTGACTCTCATGCTAAATAAGATGTTGATTTGCATTTAGCGCAGCACTTTAAGATGTCTAGTTTCGCGCAGTATTTAATTTGCATATAAAGCTATCTACAAGTTGATAGTTTGAAAAACAAGAATTAGAATAAAAGTTATCTACATTCAACGAGAAAACAAATCCATTCTTTGAGAACTAAGAATGTCTTAAGATCATGGTGTTTTAAAATATGTAAATGAGAATAACTGAAGCTTACTGATCCGAATTGCTAAACATACAGTCTAACACTGCATGTGGCTACTGATATAGCTCAATTTTTGTAGCATCGAAGAGAACTGGAAGTTGTCTAATGACGATAGATGGTAGTGTTGAAGAATATTTGTCTCACATTCAAAGCAGAAAAGCTGCCGCATCGCAAAAATACACATATTGATGGGTGGCCTGTTGCACAAGAGAAAGATAATCCAAGAATATAGTTTCTACTTGACACGCAACCAATAATTAAATGATAACAAATAATCATATTAATAAAGACATAATAATGATAACCATAGTAATAGCGGTAATGATAATTTACAGGGGCTAGCTCAAGAACCTTACTAATCCTCTATCTTCAAAACTCCAATAATAATTATTTAATTTCGCCTTTTAACTACAAATTATTTTCTTATTGCTCGGTCTTTCCAAAGGAGACGCCCGAGTTGAGTTTTTGAGGTCCCATGTTATTTAGGTTTTTAAACCTAAATAAAAAAGCTTTCGAGACGAGTTTTCTTGTTTAACTTCCATCGCTGGACGTGCTTAGAGTGTCTACTGATCTTGCCTCGGACTTTCACGTAAGTTTTTGTTTTGGCTTACGTAGTCATGATCAAAGATTGATTCATTTCATCAGAAGCATTAAGTACGTTATTGCTCAGTTGTGAGTTTCCGTCGTAAAAGTGTTTTCTAATAACAGAAACTGTCTAGTCTTGCAAAGTGAGTTGGCCAGCATGCCAGGTCAGGCGTACTGATATAGAATATATAAGCATGCACTTTCGAGTTTACTTAGCAGATATTGGCATTGAGTAATAAATAGTAATTAGTAGGAAATAGATGAATGAGAATCAAAGTTTGAGCATCGAAAAGACATTAATCAGAATTTGAGTCAGACGCGATTAGTTCTAAAGCTATGAACTATCACAACTATTTTATTAGATCTTCAGGTATCTTTAGCAGGATCGCGTTTTCATTTATTTTCATACACTGGTAGGAAGACGCCATGCCGGTGGGCACATAAGATGTGACAGATACTTTCAAATTCATATAACAGAAACTGTCAGAGGAAAAAAAATAAACACATAACAAGCAGCGAGTATTCGATGAATAGAATGGAATAGCACATAATTATCAAAATGCTGGATTTAAGCTTCGAGTTAGTGGTTTAGAAGTTTTACACAAATAGTTTATGTTTATAAATGTACGATCTTGAGGGATGAGTTGTTTTGAAAAAAAGACGTTGATTTGCGTTCTTCAACTTCGAGGTGTGGAACTTCCCTCAGTAAATAAAACTTATCTAAAGCTGTGTAAAAGTTGATATTTTGTAAAATCAGAATTATAATAAAAGTTATCCAAATAGTCACTCAAAAAACTGAGGGGTACTTAAGCTTTATCAACTGAAGTTTTATTTGCAAACAAACAGATTTAAAATGTTTTTCTTTCCTTAATATCTGTTTGCTGATCTGCTATTTGAATACTGCTACAACACAATTCAATCAAATCAGGAAGAAGACAAGTGCCCCAAAAAATAGAAAGGGACTCAAATCAAACTTTGCATGCGACTCTCGCCTTGTGCGGCGAAATTAAAACTACTATTGGTCAGTTTCTTGCCTTAGTTTTTCAACAAAGTTAGTTTGGCCGGCGCAGAAATGGAGTGATTCATAATATCTTTGGGCTTTTTTTTTATCTCCTTTATATTTGGCTGGATTTTGTCACATTTGACGATCTAACTGTGTTAATTACACGGAAAGAAGCTGATGTTACTAAGACTGCCTAATGTATAAGTCTGTCTTTTCAATAATTTAAATTTCGGGGGAATTACAATCACAAGAACGTTCGCAGCTCATCTGAAAGTTTCAGTTTACACCCTTAAAAGAAAAGACAATTCTGGTGTCGCTCGAGCTTGTTAAAATCCCCATAGACGTAACTTCTTAACAGCAGACAAGCATTGGATATCACAAGTTCTTGTCTAGTGCAATGACAACAGATTTCACTCCAGTCCTCCATGAACGTAAGCTAAAGGTCAACTTGAAACCCTAATGAAGAATTATCAAAACACCAACTCACCTCTCGTTGTTTAGTTTGTGTTTCTGTCTTTAATTGTATTTTTTAGGGCGGTCTAAGGTGGGTTGAGGAAAAAAGTTAAAACTATTGTGGCTAAGATTGTTACTTGTTCAGTATTGTAATCACACCTCACATCTCTTCCTATACTGCAAGAATTTGATGTGTTCAAACGAGAGGGTCAGATCGAGGAGAGAAGGCAAGGGGGAGGGGGTACTATTGTACACCTTTTTTTCAGCGAAAGTGTCAGCCTTGTATCAGTTGACTGTTAAATTTTTCCTTCAGAAATAAATAAGAAGAAAACTCAAAAACTAAAATTGCCTAAATCGTTATGAATCGACTTAAAAGCCACAGTGGAGACACGGAGGTGCAGGAGTGAGGAAATGTAAAGAGGCGGACATTTTGTTTCCTAAATGAAACTGTTTTCCTTATTTAGCTACTTCGATTTCAACTGTTACGGAGAAACTCAAATTATTTCAACCAGCCTCAATCAATGCAGTGCACTGAGCGCGCGCGACATGAATTCGAAGCAATCATTCTCATGGTAACATGACATCACAATGAACGAAACAGAAATCCTTGGAGTTCGTCTGAGAGATTTTGTGAGAAGCAGCAATGGCTTGTGTTCTCATACCGTTCCGTCGGCAAAAAGCAAGAGCAGATAATTTTTTGATCACAGCATCTGCTTCACTATTGAAAATTGAATTACGCAAGAAAAGGTGGTAAGGGACACGATAAAGTATTTTCTTTCTCTCTTTTCCATCAAAAGTTTAGTCTTCGAAGCTGCTTGTCTCACTAGAGTCAACCTTTTTTTCACTATTCTGACTAGAAAATGATCAAAAGTTAAACTGTGACGAAGCATACAATTTCGAAAACAATATTAATTTCACTTTGAGAAAAAATTTGCGTTTTTAGAATAGAGTATTTTCTTTCTCTCTTTTCTATTAAGAGTTTAGTCTTCGAAGCTGCTTATCTCTCTAGAGCCAGACTTTTTTTTTTACTTTTCTGGTTGAAAATGATCAAAAGTTAAACTCCGACGAGGCAAACAATTTCGAAAAGAATATTAATTTAACTATGATTAATTGAGTTGAGGAAAAAAATGATACGTTTTCGAATTTGGTTGAGTTCGATTTCACTGTTGAATACTGCGTGAGACTAGAGCCACAGAAACGAAGGGTCATTCCCCAAACTGAATATTGTTTGCCCTTTGAAGTTGCAAGACTCGGTAAAAAACAAGTACTAAGCTAATTCGTATTTTTCACGGCAGTGCTACGAGAGAAGGTTTTTGATAACGGTCAATAGTTGACAGCGAGGGGGAGGGAGGGGTAAGTTTTACTTGTTACCAGTCTTGGTAGAAAGACGTCATGGCGGCCGCCTTGAACATACGACGTACTCCTTTGCCTTCTGTCGTATTCCAAAATGACAAAAGATGTATGTGCATTTCGGCCCTTGAATTGTAAAACCGTCATGTAATCGCTTCTACAAAAAAGGAATCCGCACTTAACAGAAGTATGGTTGATTATGGGAACTCTTTTACGTTATGCTGATATTCGTGTTTTGTTCACCAATTAGGTATCCCCACAAGCTTACAGTTTTTTGGAAAGAACGAAAAGCGAAATACAGCACAAAGGTAGTCAGTGTAGACTTTGGATCGCTGTTCTTTCTCCCTTAGCTCATTAAACTTTATTGATTTTTTTAATCGTCAGTTTGAGTTAAAGAAATATTTCTTCCGATTACTTTTGCTCTCAGCCTGTAGCATGGTTTGGAGCTGTTGAAAACGGTTATCGTGGTGTTCATTTTTGGCCCGAGCCTGATCCAGTAGACAGCAAACTTACTCTACTCAAGGTAAGTTTTAAACAAAGGCAACATGAGGTACAAATTTGGGGACAGATTTCCAAAAGACTTTCTTTTTTCGTAATTGTTTTATTTATCCAATATCTCTATGCATAATAAAGTATGGGGCAGTGCGGAAATCTTGGCCAACTGTTGAAACCATAGTTTTTGTAAACACGTTACACCCACTCCCTGAAGGGTTCCTTGCTTTTTTCTTAGGCTTGCTCCTTCCTCCTATTCAGTGTGCGTTACATTTTAAGAAATTTTGAAATGAAAGCAGTCCATCTTTCGTTGATAAGATTTTTAAAGCTACAAGGTTTTATCGCTTAGCCTCTTGTGTTGGATTTACTATGTAATTTCATGTTGAGTAATGGATGTTAAATCTATTAAATCTATTAATTTTCATTGTAAACGTTTAAAGCACAACAGCTGAAACGAAAAAAAAAACATTATGAAATGCTATTGAATCTACAAAACGTTTGAAGAGAGATGCCAAATACCATTCTATGAACTTTATTTCACAATAAGACTCCATCTCAACCTCAGTATAATGTGTGTGAGTGGCATTGAGTTCCATCTTAAAACTGAATTAAGTAATTTTCTGTTAGTGTTCCCGTATACAGACCATGCTAAATTCGATTCCTTGTTGTTTGGCCAAGGACAGCCTCAGCATAAACAAAGTCCTAAATGCTAGTGCTTAGCTATTGTTCTGCTCATTTTATCTTTTGTTTTGCCACACCTTCATTTCCATTGCTCTCATGGTTTGCTTAAGGTCCCTAATATTGTTGTTATCAAGTTTTTTTCTTTATTTTAAAACAATATTTAACTGTAATTTACAGAACCCAGAGGATGAAATGACAGAATATCAAGAAAAGCAGTGGAATATTTTCATCTGTAATGTAAGCTTTTCCCTTTTTAATTTAACACAAGTTTGTAGTTGCTCTTTGCCTTTGATATTACACTCACTCCACACAGTTTGGAGTAAATCTGAACACTGTTCATCTTATTTCTTTGAAATCATTAGGTGTCCCCTAGTGGTCGTCACCAGCTTCTGGCCACTGGCTGTATTTATATTAGCAATTACATCACAGAGAAGCCTGGAAAATTGGATGTTACAGTCACCCTTAAGCCAGCAATCAAGAAAGTTGTGGCTGGTGAAATTAAATTTGAATTATCATGGGTTATGCAGGAAGATGACAGAGTCATTCAGTGAGTATTCCTCAGTAATTTCTGTAGCAAGTTCCTGTAATGATGATCTAACTTATGTGTGGCATTTAAAAGTCAACTACTCTATCATAATGTTATATTTTAGATCAATGAACTTGATCAATAAATTTCAAAATGAGATATTATCATTTTTGCTGCATGAATAAAAGGGTTGACTACAATCTGAATTTTATTTTGTCAATGGTTTTTATTCATTCAATAATTCTTTGTTTTTTCTAAAAGTAATTGTACTGTGAAATTCCATGAACCCTTTAGCTGTTGAATATGCTTGATATTTGTATTACCTTTACAGTCCCACAGATGAAGAAATATGGGAAGAGATAATGCAGGAGGTCAGGGAGGAACAAGCAAGAAGAAAAGCTGAGGGAAAGACAGCAAAGTATAAATCTTTGAGAAAAAAGAAGGAGCAGGAAATGTGGCTGCTCAAGTCATGCAGACATTGCTGCTGAAGAAGACAAAAAGAAAGTTGAAAACAATGAAGTTGGCTGCCCAATTGGGACAAACATTGCTGCTGAGGAAGATATAAGAAATAATGAACAGCAAGATGGCATCTTCCCAAATGACAAACCTCAGGTGGATTCCTCATCCGGCAGCAATACCAAAGTGAGGTCAGGAAAAGTCAGGAGGCAGTCTTCATGTCATCATGCTCCTCTTAGCCCTATTCCACCCCAACCACACCGATCTGCTAACCAGGGGATGCCATCAGAGAGTGAAGAGAAAAAAGCGGTGCAGAGTAAAAGGAACCTTCATAAAACTGTCAGGTTTCAAATTGATGAACAGCCTCAGGTATTACATCCTGTTGGAGATGATGAAGAAGCACTGGACTACTTTTCTGTGTTTTCCTCAGAAAGTGTCTACAGGGAAACAGTTTTCATTGAGAAAGATGAAGTAGCAACAAAAGAGAAGTGCATTGCCAAGAGAGATAAAAATTCATGTAAGTTCTGTTTTGATTTTCAGTCTCCCATGCCAAAGGGACAGGGGATAAATTTGTTCATTTTTTCCTGTTTAATCTGATTTATTTTCAATCAAACAATTATACTGAGACTCCTTAAAACCCTGAGTTATATGGACTGAGTAAAAATCATAACTTTACTTTGTTTTATTCTGAATTATAACTATTTTTATTGACAAGTGATGGTAACTTTTTTGTTCAGCTTCAAGTGTTTGCCAGCTTCACTCAAAGTTGGCCAGTTATGTTGAAGAGGAACTGAAGCTTGTTCAAGATGAATTATTGTCTTCAGAAGAAGTCTGTTCAAAAGTAAAACTTGAAATGGAGAAAGCTATGTCATCAGGTTGGCGATCCATTTAGAACTGAGGCAATCATTGTTAATATGATGAAGCGAAATGCCTTGGAATTTCAAATAATACAATTAATATGTTGCATTCCCATGTTGAGTCATTTTAGAGCATGCATTCCTTCATGAAAAAATAAGTTAGAGTTCTTTCCTCCACTTGTGCGCTATAATCCTTTTACTCCAGGATTTTATTAGTGATTCCCATTACTGTCTGCAGTACAATTCTTATGATGTTAGATCAAAGAATTTGGTATTGGATGGACTAATAATCTCCTGCTTATACTGTTTTAGTATTGTAAGGAGAAATTCTGTCTTGGTCACTCACAGACCAAAAATAAAGGTAGTCCCTTAACTAGAGCTACTGCAAGTTTTGGACTTATTTCAGGTGTAATAAGCCATGCTTAACTTACACAGCTTACACAATGTATTTGTTACTTTTTTTGTCTGTAGGCCACAAAGAAGAGTTTGAAAGCTTAAACCAAGGCTGGCTTATATTGGATAGATTCCATTCCAAAGTGATGAAAAGAAAAGATGACCTTTTTTCCCTGTAAGTAACAAAGACTTATTTTTGAAATGAAATAAATTTTACCATTATGACTTAAAATGTGGTCTTACATTGTAATCCATGATTCAAAAACTTTGCATAAGTGCCTATATATGCTTACCTACTGTCTTTGATATGGGATAATTGATCTATCCTTCACATCTTGCGTGGCGTGAAATTGCACCTAATACAAGCACCAATACAACTAAATTTTTTACTTTGGCGACCAAATCCTGAAAATTAGTCGCCAAACTGGCAACTAGAATACTTCATCATAACCTTACCTAGAGATAATTAGAGTAATAACTAGAGTGAATAAAAAAGATTTGCAAAGATAAATCTGTGGCAAACTTCCTTGTTAAGTTTGTTGCAAAAGGCAGCACATGCATCTTGATCGATGACTAGATGCAACCTTGGATTTAGGTGAGCTTAAGGTTTGTATATCATCCATCCTAGAGTCCACTTTGTAGCAGGTTAAATTAAAGATCTTTTTCCTAGCTTAATTTTGGAGGGTCTATCTAGAATGCTGACAATGTAAAAAAAGTTTTGTTTGTCTTTAAAAATGGCGACCAACTTTTTTTGAATTGGCTATCACTTTGAAAAATTTAGGAGCCAAGTGGCTATCAGAAAAAAAAATTAATTTCACGCCCTTTATTGCCTAATTAGTTCCTCTGGATATATTTTCATTATTGTTGGTAATAAAAAATGTGAGCAATGGAAGGAAAAATGTTTGATTTACTGATCAAGCAGTTCCATTATTTGTCCTAATTTTTTCTTTTGGTTTTTTCACATACTGTAGTGGTTCTGCTTAACTAAAGATTGTATTTAGCTTCAAGTAGATTTGCTTTAATTTCTGTTTTCCTTTTGCCAATGTAGTCACAAAGGAGAAAACATTGAAGATTGTCTTAACTTGCTGTGTTCAGATTTGAGATGCCTTTCAGAAGTGGAAGGTAAGTATTCAGTTGTTTCTTCTCCTTTTTCTCAGGTAAGTGTTATTGGGACTGGTTTAGTGAGCCTTGATTCTTAACCCTTTACACTTCAACATCATTCTGTATATATATATATATATATATATATATATACTCCAAACTGATCTCTTTACATTTCCTAAGGTGCTGACAAGGTGAAAATGTTTAACAACCTTGAGTTTCTTTAGATAGTGATCAATTCCTTTATCCTTGTCACATTTTTACGGAGAAATTAGATGCTAATCTCTTTGGGGTCAAAGGCATCAGCTAATATGTAGAGGAAGGAAACAAGATTTGTATTTTTAATCATAGGGTGGAGGAAAACAGATCAGAACAGAGCTCAAGAAAAAAGAGTTACTGGACTCATTGATGCAATTTGCCAGCAGAGCCTTGATGCCTAAATAATGGTAAGAAACAGTAATCTTAACTGAGATGAAATGCTAGGCTCTAACACTTCCTATGATAGCAATCAATATTCTATCTTAATCAGTTGAAATTCAAGGCATGTAGCTAATTTAATTTTTAGTGTTTTTGTTTAATACAATCTACAATAAAACATACTGTCTATAATTCTGTCATATGAAGTGGTGCAGATGTTCTTATGTTGGTTTATTTTCTCTTTTTTTGCATTTCAGGCTGAATGAAAATCCATCCACTACATTTGAATGTTGGCTATTTGTGTTCTGGATTCTTAAAAAAAATTGCAGCAAGAATTGCCCAAAAACATGCTGCTGTCCTTTTCAAACAAATTCTTCTTTCATAAGTTCATTTATAAAAGTATTTTAAGTGTGATTTTACTCAAAATGATATATGATATTGAGTGCTCTACATTCAGAAAGAAAAATTTTTGTGATGAAACATTTCCTCTCTCCATTGTAAATAATTCTTTGTAAATAGTCCAAAATATGTTTTTAAACAGGTCATCATTTGTCATATTCTTGTTTCAATCTTTTAATAGGATTTTAATTTTAGAGAATTAATTTCTTCCTGCAGTTTTTATGAAGCCACTGTTATAATAGCAGTACATTTCAAATCTTATTCCTTAATTACTTTGAAATAATTTTCTCTAAGTAAGGTTGATAAGACATATATATATCTCCTGTCTTAATTGTAAACAATATTTTGTAACTAGTTTGCAATACGTTTTGTGAAAAGTTTATCATCTGTACAATCTTTTGATACATAGAATTTCAAAACCACTTTTTTCCTGCAATACTTATGAAGGCACTGTTAAAGTAACACGTACATTCCAAATTCTTTGTCTTATTTTTGAAAGATCTACTTCAAATAGCAAGTGTCAACAGTCATTCTAAGTGGTCACATGTGCACATGTGTCATTTTGATTTATCGGTGAATCAATATCAGTGCTGATGTGGGAGAACACATAGTAATAGAGACTGAGAGACAATCTGTGTGACGTCGATATATATTCAGATCTTAACCTCACAGAAATAATGACATAATTGGTTCAACTTAACCTTTCAAATCTGTAACATTTTAGTCCTTCTTAATAAGTTAAGCTTGAAATTCTTTCTTGGTGTGGTTGAAGTCTTTTTTGTCAATCAAACATGAAGTGTTTTCTTTGTTGCTTAACATTTAATATGTAAGACTCTTGTGCAGAAATTGGTATTGAGGTCATTATGCAGTGGCTCCAAAGTGAAAAAAAACAGTTAAAAGTTTATGCTCCTGAATTCCTGTTGTTGTTGGATGGTTTCCTATAATATTATTTGTAATACTCTTGTATTGACATTACTACTGAGATCATTTTTCAGTGGCTTCAAAGTATGAAAAAAACCTCTAATTATTTGTTGGTTAGTTATCATATCATCTTTCAATGTTCTTTTATGAATGTTGGATTTGAGATAATTATGCAGTGGCTTCAAAGTATGAAAAGAAAAACCTGTAAGTTAAGTATGAATAAACTTTGTTGCTATAAAGTATGTGATGATCATTGTTGTGTCCCTGAGGCCATTTCGATTAAGTGTCGAAATGAAAGAGATCCTTAATTGCGACAGTTCTTTTCCTGTACCCTCTGTGATTAGGCCAGAAAACTCGCCCCAAATGCAACACTAAGACTAATCGCTGCTCACTTTTTCCCGCTCTTTGAGCAGTTTGCTTAGCTTCATTAATAGTTCTAATTGGCTCCTTTTACAGTTACACATGAGATCGAGGCTATTTGTGCCACATAGCCTGCCAGCCAGCCAGCCCACGAGTCCGCCAGTCCAAAATGGCGCCCAATGCCCGAAATCGCATGGCATCACGATCTTTCCCCTTTGGGCTGGTCCATAAAAACCCTTGAGAGTTATTCCCGTAAAGCGACACGATTAGTATGCATTCTCCTTCGTCGAACGTAATGATAATTAAAGTAATTAATAATAATAATAATACTATTAAATGTCATGTAATAGTCTGATAGGACAGTGGATAAACGCGCGTCATAGCTGAAACTATCATCAACTATCATGACCTTTTGAACGGGCTTAAGTCTTCTAGATTCTAATTTTCACGGCTTGGTAGTAGATATACCGCCTTCAATTTCTACAATGTCTGAAAAGAATTCTGCCGCTGCCCCCGGATGGCTTCAGTTTATTCCGCTGTCATATTTTGGAAAATGAGTATTTAACCATTCAAATAATGGTTAT